TTTTGTTGTCTTTAATGGAAAACAGAACTTTCTCAAATAATGACACATTTTTGTTACATTAATAAAATGAGATCGTTTTTAAAAGTTATGAAACTCATAAGAAAAATACATTCATTATACGTTTTAGTAACAAGCAGAGACGAAGCTTGTCAAGATCTGAATCAAATATAACAAAATTGATTTTTTTTTCTTGTGAAGTTGTCGTCGAGAACCTAATGGGATTCTGTAGAAAAACCTCCAGCTAACACGGAACTGAGATCTTAGTAAACAAATCACGCAGCTTGTATTGCCCAAACCGTTGAGACCTTGTTTTTTTTTCTCCCCCTTTTAATTCCGACTAGTTCTCTCCCTTCCAGATAAGTCCGTTTAACCCGTTGGTTGCTTCCCCTTTTCACACCATTTCTCTCCCTTAATAAAGCCTCGCCGACGGTCCGGCTTGACATGCGCCGGCCGCTAGTCGCCGTGGACATGCATACGAATCAGCTCGCGCAAATTATATCCAATCGCATTCGTTCCCCAAGCTCGCGGTCTCCGGTTTCCGTTTCCGGGATTAGTTCAAAGGGGGGGAGTGGGTGGGTGGGGGGGGGATAGAAATGAACAGTCGGCTGTCGGGGGGTTAAGGCTTGTCGTTTTCATTGTTAAGCAAGCAGGGCAATCAAACTGCGGATCAGGGGAGCGAGCCAATACTGAGGACAGAAAGGAAATGAACATAGGGATAGATCGACATGGTCCCAGTCCGCGCCTTTAGATTGGAACCAGTGCTGGGGGGGGGGGGGGGGGGGGAATAAAAGGGGGGGGGGGGGGGTAGAATGGTGTGAGACAAAGAATAAATATGTTTTGTTTGTGTTGACAATAAAAGATTGAGGGAGAAAAAAAAACCGGATGCCAGTTAGGAGAAATGCACCCGGAATTCCGGAAACAAACAAATAAATTGTGTCTGCGTGCTACTCATGTATTGCTTTTGTTGCGTTGTATTAGCACATCCATCTTTTATACATTCAAGTTGCCATGTCCTGAAGCCTTAACATTTGTTTTCGTGCAATGTTTTTTTTCTAAACACGAGTTGAGATTTTATATTTTTCCTCACAGATATTGGAAATAAAGCTGAACTTTAAGAGAACAAAAATAATAAAATATTATTCAGGGTAAACAACTTGAAGCTGACGCCGGTTTCTCAGATTTACTTGCAAATGAACTCCGTTATTTAATAAAAGCAATCGAAAAACAAAAGTCGGCCGTTTTTTTCTGTGATAATACATTTCTTTTAATGTAGTGTTGGAAATGTTAACACGTTCATAACACATTGATTTATTTATCATTCAACATATATATATATATATATATATATATATATATATATATATATATATATATATATATATATATGTGTGTGTGTGTGTGTAAGGATGTATGTATGTAGTGTGTGAGTGCGTGCGTGTGTGTTTGTGTAAAAGGATATGTAGCAATATAAATACACTCGTGCCGATGACAGATTTGACTGTAAATAATGTTTAAAACCTTTCCTATGATTGCTGTCTATTAAACTGTCGATGGTAGTGGTGTGAGTTTCAATGACAGCGTAGTACCTGGTTGATGTTCATACTTCATAGCGTGCGGCTAGTACAAATCATGGGATAAGTGAGTCACTTTGTCCCTGTTTTTCTTATAAGATTCATCTTTTCCTCAGGGGACATGACCCTTATATAATTACTCTTATTTAAATAGTCTAGAAATGCTATCCACCAAAGTGAGAATATCAATGAATATTTCCTTTTAAAATACCAAACTTGAAACATTGTTTCAACAATTAGATACCATCATTAAAGTTATTTTTTTTTATTTTAATTTTTTTTAAATTTTGAACAGTTATTGTTTATCATTTTAAATTGGCCACAAACAACATACCCCAGACACAACATACCCCACATACAACATATCCCACATACAACAAACCCCCACACACAACAAACCCCCACACACAACAAACCCCCACACATAACATACCCCACACAACACATACCCCACACACAACAAAACCCACACACAACATACCTCACACACAACATACCCCACACAACTTACCCCACACAACATACCCCACACACAACATACCCCACACACAACATACCCCACACACAACATACCCCCACACACAACAAACCCCATACAACATACCCCAGACACAACATACCCCACACACAACATACCCCACACACAACATACCCCCACACACAACAAACCCCATACAACATACCCCACACACAACAAACCCCACACACAACAAACCCCACACAACATACCCCACACACAACATACCCCACACACAACATACCCCCACACACAACAAACCCCACACAACATACCCCACACACAACATACCCCACACACAACATACCCCCACACACAACAAACCCCACACAACATACCCCACACACAACATACCCCACATACAACATACCCCACACACAACATACCCCCACACACAACAAACCCCACACAACATACCCCACACACAACATACCCCACACACAACATACCCCACATACAACATACCCCACACACAACATACCCCCACACACAACAAACCCCACACAACATACCCCACACACAACATACCCCACACACAACATACCCCCACACACAACAAACCCCATACAACATACCCCACACACAACATACCCCACACACAACATACCCCACACACAACATACCCCACACAACTTACCCCACACAACATACCCCCACACACAACATACCCCCACACACAACATACCCCCACACACAACAAACCCCACACAACATACCCCCACACACAACAAACCCCACACAACATACCCCACACACAACAAACCCCACACAACATACCCCACACACAACAAACCCCACACACAACATACCCCACACAACTTACCCCACACAACATACCCCATGTGGCTTATGTTTTCCTGAGTTCCAAACATCACTACCCGCAAGCTGGAACTTTAATACCGGATTTGAAGCCAATTCCCCACGACCTTAAATACCTCTAAGGAATTTAACTTCCCCGTGCCATCCCTGGTGTTACGACTCAGACCTGCGTCTTTCTGATGTTAACGTTTTTTTTTTTTTAAACGTTTAGTCAAGTGGGTCATTAACACAATTTTACGAAAAAAAAAAAGTTTTTCTTAAAAACAAGACACAAAATCAATGAAATAAAACGCATGTGTAAGGCAGGGGCTAATATTCGCATTAACAACCTCACTTCCGCAAACCTTTACAACGTCCTTGAGAGGTAGCAGATGCCCGCTCTTGGTCTCTCCTTGGGTATGGCAGTTTGAAGCTACAGGCTACTCTCTCAGCTACACCAATCCATGTTGTCATTTATAACGGTGGCCATTTGTTGTGTGTTCGAGTTACGGTTCTTTAAAGGGCAATTTAAGAGCGCACACTCCCTAGCGTGGCAGGTCTCCCGACTAATTTCATTCCTCTTTTAGTGGGAGGACGCAAAAAAAAAATGTCCTTTAAGAATGGTAGTCCATACAGCGGATGAAGTAGAGTTCACCTGTTTATGAGACGTGGGCAGATAAAGAGATAGTGTGGCCAGTTGTACGCCTGTCCTCCTTTATTATTCTCAGAGACGGGATGACTCCAGAAAATCGTACAGACTAGAGCCAGGTACCAAACGACTCTAGCATCAACTCTAGCGCCCGACCACACCCTCCCAAGTGTGCGTGGTAAGCTTAATTTTAATGTGTCATGTAAGTGTGTATTCTTTATGTGTTTTGAAGATGGCGTGTTTTGGGGGCTGTAAAAAAATATCATTTATACATTTTCGCTTCTATTATTTGAAAGTTAAACTGTCACTTGTTTATGAAATCCTGTTTGGCTTCAATAAATGTCTGAAGTTAAAGACCACATTGAGTTTAACGACAGGGATCATTGTAGAAATTAGAGGTTCTCAAAACATACTAAACCAGCTCTTATGTTTAATTTTATGTGTGTGTTACCTACCACAGCAGTAAGATCTGCAAGGGGATGCTCTACTTCACCTGACGCTTGTGGTCGGGTTTGTAGCTGCTCAAAGAGCTAGCCAGTCGGTTGGGATTAGATTCTGAGGGGATTTTAATTAAAGCTGTTTAATTTTTTTGTTTATTCATTTTTTTTACTGTAGGTTTGTAAAAATGGAGTTCTGAGGATTCACAGCAGCGTCGTAAATATCAGTTTTAGTTTTACATTCTGCCTAGAGGCACGTAATTTCTTGATCTACACTGACGTTTAGTATTCATTTATATTAGGTAGGTTATATAAGTTCTAGAGGTATAAAGTGGGTGTCTGGACAATGTACAATGTGAAATGTGCTGTGGTTTGCTAATGGTGAATGTTGATAGTCATTGGGTTTTTTAATGTAGATATATATTTTTTTTTTTTTTGAGTTAGCTAATTTTTAATTTTTTTTTTTTAAATTTTGATGTTTATTACCGTTTGATAATGTTGAATCTAAAAGTTTGTTGTTGTTTGTTAAACTTGAAATTGGATGTTTAATCCGATTTATTAATGATAAATGTAGATTTGTAGTAGGCAAAAATTAGCTATGTATAAATAATTTCATAGTCATTAATATAACTCTCAAGGTTGTTAACGAAAAGCGCTGAGTTATGTTATATTCTCGTGGCGTGCACATTTTATGTGATGTATAATGTTTAAGGATTGTGATTTTAAAGTGTTTACAGTATCAACAAGAATAAGGCTAGGCAAAAGTTTAATTTGCTGGATTTGAATATTTGTAGCATTTGTTTACATTTTTTTTCTATAATCATAAAGATATTGTCGTATGTGTGTGTATTTATAAGTTATGTGCTTATGTTTATAGTGTTTATGTGTGTCCGTGGCGGCCTTATGTCTTGTCGGCCTTTTGGTTTATAGTTACCGATTTGCAAGCTTGTTTGGATACTCCGATTGTGTAAAAGTTACTGAAAGATTTGATAAAAACTTGGTTCATAAAACATCATGTTTATTAAGACTGGAAAAAAATATTGCATCATCAAATACATGGATTTACATAGCATGAAATATAATAAAACGAATCAAAATTTGCTAGTGAAAGTCAATAATATTTATTATATTAAAACGTCGATTTCAAAAAAGTATCCATTTCGTAAAATTATACAAATTATTACATGTCAATGTTCATTTTTTGTGTATTCTTATGGCGTTTCGCTTGAGTACACATTGTTCAAATTGTTCGTGTGGTTCGTTTAGGATTAGGATAATCTGTGATTACATACCTTGTTGTCTCACGCCATCAATATCACGAGCAGGTGAGAAAATTGAACTAGTAGGTAGACGAGGAAAATGGAGGGCCATTTTGTCTACAGGATGAGATACATCGCGGCTTGACCCACTTTCCGCCGCTGCGCGCGCAGCCATTTGCGCAGCATGTACATGGGCTTCAAGCCCGGCTCGTGCTACGTTGGGGGAGGTTAGGTTGTAGGGGTAGGATAATGTCGTGTGTGTGAAGGAGAGCGGGAACGGCCCGCCGAGTCCGGCGAACCTGGCGGCAGCGGGCCAGTGGGCCGCGGCCCCCGGGGGTAAGAATAAAAATCCCTGCCCGGGGTGAGGTCTTTGGGGCGATGCCGCGGGAAGTGTGGACGAAATGAAGGTCGACCTGCTCAATGCTGAAGGCGAGGGCAGCGACGATGATGTGATGTGGCTGGGCGAAGACGCTGTTGATGTTGTCGATGTGGATGAAGACGACGAGGAAGTTGTGTTGATGAAGTCAGATATGGACCAAATTTTGGGCCGCGTCGTTGGGGGCGTCTCGCTGACGGCGCCCCGGCTCGGACTGTGCGAGCTGGCGTCGGTTGTTGATTGACTAGAATGGGGCTGTTTCGACACCAAACTCGCGGTCACCCCGCTGTGACGAGCATCTCCGAGTAATGACGGAGATCTACGATGGGATTGTTCGTCGGTGTTCTTAGAGCGTGGGTCGGGCTCCTCGTCCCGTGGCTCGACGGAAGACGACCCCCGGAGAGGGGATCTGTCCCTGGAGGCCAGGTGCCTCTCCCTCTCCGAGACATCCGACAGCAGACGCCGACTGTGGAAACTGTCTCTGGAAACATCATCGTCTTCGTCGTCATCGCTGATGTCGTCGTCATCGACTCGAATGATCCTTTCCTTATAGGGCCGGTTGTTGTTTTCAGAAGCGTGGTCGGCACCTGGGAAAAAAAAAGACGAACTGAGTGAAGTCACGTGACTATAGAAGTTGTATGTTAACATGGTTATCTGAATATAATAATGGTGCTGGGTACTGGTTTGGGCTGAAAAACAATAACCGTTAATTGAGCGGATCCATGTTTAGGTCAACCGTCTCTAATCCTATCTCTCCCTCATTCACACATACATACATATACGTGAAAAGACAAAACAAAAAAAAACATACAAAAAAATTCGCACCTATTTCATTCAAATAGTTTAACTGAACCGTTGACTTAACCCATTAGCATTAACTTTTTTAAACTAAAAGTTAAAGTATGTATTTGAAAACGTTATTATTTACAACGCGTATTAAATTTATTTTGAACATCTGTTAATCCAATGAAAAATAATCTAGCAGAAAGATAATCGGGTGTAATTAATCATCATTACGTTGTTATAATTACCCGTGTAATCAATCCGAATATCGGTTTCAAGTTTTATCGACAAGTTTCATTGTATAAAATTATGTTGTATCTGATACACTCAAGTATTCTCCTACTAGATGTGTACGATATTTTTATCAAGAGGATTAAGACGGGGGGGGGGGGGTATGCACGACATCACGTCTAATGCGATTACTTGCAACTAGTACGTTTTCTGCGTGAGCACGAGTGGTCTCACGTGCATATGCGTCATCAAAGTACATCCGTGACGTAAGCTATTAGGTCTACTATAGATGTCTTATTACAGATGACAGAGGAGTGACGGCTAGAGTATATGGGGTGTGTGGATATATCTATGTGATATTTCGAATGGGTATGGGATTTCCTGAGCTTTTTTATGCATTGCTTGAAGCGATTTTTCGATTTCGAGAAGCTCAAAATTTTAAATATTGACTCTAATTTTTTAAAATACAATATGGTAAAAACAACACAGACCTAGTGTTATGTTTTTTATTTTTAACGGTTAAAATATAATGGACACGACTTTACGCCTTACCTTTCTAAAATAAAACACGAATGCGATGAAAGAAAAACATATACCGGATAAAACACATTGTTATTGTTATTAAAATTTACATGGACAATATACTTCAATTATAGGCTATCAATGTAAATCAGTTAAACTCTTATAAGCATATGCATTGCTATTATATCTGAACACTCAGTACTAATGTTTCAAGATTAATCCCTTCAATTACAAATCAATAGATTGCATTTTTCTAAACTGCGCTGTACAAGTTATCGATATCTATATCATTATAAACTAATTTTCATATCTGTAGCATCTAGTTTACAGGATTTAACGGTTACATTTTTCTGTTCTACTCTCGGGCGAGATCACGCGAGATCACAACACTGGGTTCCCAAGCCACGTAGCAGGATCGAATTTCACCCCCGCCCCCCTCCCCAGCCGTCACTTGTCAGGCGACGTGTAAGGCCCCTATCGCGCTGCCCGATCAACCCCAGCGCCCGAGGCCGCTCGCCACTAACGCCACGAACTTAAGCCTTCAGGCCTGGCGCCAGGGATGAAGTAGGTATTAGCTGTAACGGGATCTGCGTGTATTAGCAGTGTTTATTTGCTATACACACAATAAATACGCGAGGATTGAAATCTGCAAAACACAGTGTTGATAGCTTGTTTATTTACACAAAAATAAAATACATAATTTTAAGTGGGAAAAGAGGCAAACGCATATATATATATATATATATATATATATATATATATATATATATATATATATATATATATATATATATATATATATATATATATGTATGTATGTATATATATGTTATATATATATATATATATGTGTGTGTGTGTTTGTTAGTACGCAAATATATATATATATATATATATATATATATATATATATATATATATATATATATATATACATATACTATAATATATGGCGCATTTATGTCTTTCTGAAGACATTGCGGCTATTTTATCAGTGTGAGAGGGTGGTAGAGCGCGGCTCAGTGTGCCCGTTGATAAAGTGAGACGTCTGCAGCTTATGCTTGCAGCATATCGTCCTGCCCGCTGCACAGTAAAATGTGCACTCGTGGTCGGAGATTTCCCGAGCGGGGTGATGAGTCCCAGAGCCCTGGCAGGTCAAAAGCGCCACAGCTGCGGAAAATGTGCTGCAGCGCGATAACCCGCGGGACCATGGGATTATGGGATGGAAGAATTTGGCCACGGATTTATTGCGCTTAAATATCCGGAATTTTTTTTTTTTCCTGTTTAGCTCAGGGTTAAAGAGTTGACTTAAATTTACGTCTTTTTTATTAATTTTTTTATCAAGAGATTTAATTTTTTTAAAAAGGAGGAAATATCCATCATCAATCTAACAGCACTTATAATCCTTAATTAATCCAGTTAATTAAACTAACTAATTAAGCACGTCGTTATGTACATAACGCCCGTTGATCTAATACACATAATTAATTAATTTGTAGTGTGACACAACAACTTATTTTTAAAATGCATTAGCTTGTAAAGTAGAAAAAGTATATAAATCCTCCCCCCCCCCCCCCCCCCCCCACATCCCACTTAAAACTTATAGTCCACATGGAGGTTACGGAGTTCCATTTTTTTACAAGAAAAAAAAAAATCGCAAAAATGTATTTGCTCTACCGTTATGTTGGAGGGGTACTTAGGTACAGTAAGTGTACATATGCCCCAAGTAGCGCAGAAGTGCTTCGAAAGTCATTAGTGCCTTCGATGTAATACAGAAAATAAAATTAATTACTTCGTGAAAGTAATGAATGCCAGTATTCGTCTATGCCGCACTCTAAAACCGCATCAGCAACACTACATTCTGCCCCCCCCCCCCCCCACACCACCCTTACCTCAGTAGCCTCCCACCAACAAACACAATACTTTTCGCTCAATATTGTTAGCTGAACGACCACATTTTAAAAATATACAATCTAAAGATACAAATTTCAAAGCAATAAATTAACCCTTGGCACTTAGCCCCGCAGTAACAACCGACGCCTCGTTCTGTACAGTTAACCCTTTAGAGATCGCCGGTTAATTTAGACAATTATCCGCCCAGTTGAAGCTCCCATAATGGGTTCCCCGGCGATTAAAATAAAAGCGTGGGAGTCGTGTCTACATAACGGAAGAGACCCTTAGCCTAATGCAGCTCATTTTCGCCTGCGTGTTGGGGTCGTACTTAGATAAGGGCAGATCGTAGTTTTTTTTTTTTTAGCGTAGACATCGTAGTGTGTCTATGTCTATGTTATACAGCGGTTATGTAAATACATGTGTCAAGGTAATAGACACTTCATATGAAAAATTGATATAAAAAATTATTAGCCAATTTTTCTTTACGAACTGGGGTATATATCATGGGTATAAGATAATCGTTTTGTTTTTGCTCTTTTAATTATTTCTAAAACAATTGTGTGAAGATTAATTTTTTTTAAAAAAAATAGAAGTATCGTTGTATTTTAAACATTGTTTATCAAACGTTATAGAAAATTTTAAATTGTAGTCTACCTAGGTCGAAAATTGGGAGGTGGGGTATGCAGGGGTGTGGGAAAGATGGAGGGCGTGGTAAGTACAGGACGGGGTGAGTCCACGGTACTCACGGAGAGATTACAACTGACAGAAATTAGCTCCGTGAGCAAAGTGGTAGAGTGGCACTGATTTACCACCTTTTCAAATTGTAAACACAAAATGTCTAGAGAGTAACTTCCCTTAATACCACTACCACAATTAAGACTTAATTTGACTCAGTGCTTTATACAGATTTAAAAAAAAATACTATGTATGAACATCTATCCCTCAAAGCAATTTCAAATATATAATCATTTATCATCTATTAAATAATAGCAATTATTAATTAGTATATCTAATTTGCGAATCCGTTACTATTTTTTCAAAGCTTTTCCATGACGATTTATCTGGCGACATCATGTTGTGAGTAAAAAAATTTATTTCTGTGAAAATACGACATTTAATTTTGTGGCTTTACAATCAAATGATTACTATATTGGTGATTTTTTTTTATATGGGCACGTATCAATGAAACAAAAATTAGACTCAATTGTTAAATCATAAAATAAATGTCATAACAAGTCGAACATTTAAGTTATTGTACTAGTAAATCTCACCCTCCAACCCCCCTCCCCCCCCCCACTCCCTACTCTCTTCACGATTATCTTACTTTAAAAGTAAAACTAATCTCACAACCTAGGTATTCATTTCCTTGTCCCGGGCCTCCCCACACCCCTACTTCACACCCCCACCTCACACCTCCCCACACCCCACATCACAGTGGTTCCCACGCTGTCCATCATCTGGCACCGGACTACTGACAAGACTGTGGGTGAGTACCTCGCCTCACTCACGTGTAACCCACACACACGGCGTCCTTAGTGACGCCTGACTCAACCCCACTGTATCACTTGTGTAATGGAACACAAATCACACCTAGGACATACTCTCCCCCCCCCCCCCCCCACCACCATCGCCGGTCGTTCACCTAACCACTTGTTACCCCACCCCCCGCACTTCAACACTAGTACTTTCTTCAACTTGTAATACTATATACCGTCCCTACCGTCCCATGCCATGACTTAACGTTTAAAGGTCAACTGTCTGTCATTCTGTCAGTCCATACAACTGCCTGTTACTCTGTGAGACTGTTCGACTGTTACTCTGTTTACTTCAATGGTTCTCTATCAGTATACTGAATTGTTCTGTCAGTCTATTTAAATGTCTGTAACTACTTGCTATGTGTACTTTAAATTAAAATAAAAACACACTAAACATGTCATTTTCTACATGTCTATACGTCGTGTTTACCACAACTTTAGTTTTTGGTGCGCATGCGCAGTCGACAGGCGGACATGTTGTTTAGGCTGGAGCCACCCCCCCCCCTCCCCAACCCAACCTCCTCATTATACCCGCCATATCTTTATCAAACTGTTCACTGTTTTACACGTGTTTGCTCATGTTTTTTTGCCGTCTGCTGAGCTGACCAAGCACGACTCATCCA